TAGCGACAGGTGAAGTGGTTTGTGGGGTTCGTGTAGGTATTTCCAGGTTCGCCTGCTTTGCTGCGTTGAGAGCTTCTTCTGCTTTGCGGACCTTTTCACGAGCTATGCGAGCTGCCGACTGTGCCGCACGAGCTTTGTCTCCTATAGCATGCGCATCCTCGTCTTCTAGGCGTGGCTGATCAATACTGCGGCCAATAGCACCGGTACGAGACTTGACAGGTGTCGTGTTGACAGCATCGCGGATCGTTGTAGGATCTACTAGGTTAATGTTAGCGAGACACATCCAAACGAAAAATACATTGCTCACCTTGAGTTCCTGCGGAGAATTTGTCCAGGAAGACTCGTGGCGTATATTTATAGTTGCCGGCGCGCACTTTGTCATCGTTTTGGTTTAATTCTTCCACAACCTCTTCCAGACTTCCAGGAGTTCCCAAATTGCTGATCTCCTCTTGAACTTCGGCACTGGGTATCGGAAGCTTGAAGCGTGACCCAGACTCGTATACCGGGAGGTTCTTGTACTGCTCCAATTCAGGGCGATCAAACGGTATGTTGGTCTCGACAATCTTGCCCTCTGCTTTCATTTGCTTGCCAAATTCGGAAAGATCAAAGTCAATCTTGAGACTCTCCCAATGCGCCATCTGGAAGGTTTCTGGAAACGGCAGCGAGGCTGGATAGTTCTTGTGCCACTTTTCGGGTTCGTTGTTTGGGCCACCGTACTTGAACCGTTCCTCGCGCCGCACCTTTGTTTCTGCCGCAGGCACTTGTCTTCGGGGCATGGACTGAGGTTCGTCCGGTGTATCGCCTCTTCGATAAAGAGCTTGCGCTGCAGACGGCGTGTAGGAGTCTGGTGCGTCTTCTATCATCACCGACCTAGGGGAATCCCCGCCTAACGAAGACGATGAATCTTCTCGCGCAACCTCTTCCTCATATTCGAGCCGCGCTTGACGAATCATAGCTTGCGCGCGCTCATACAGCTGGTCGTCGAAGTTGCGCTCTTGCGGAGGAAGTCGCTGGAGGAGATCCTCGTCGATCCTCTCAACGTGATTCATGTAAGTGCTATCAGTGTCATCGCCTCCTTCGTTATCCAGGTAGCGGATCGCTTGAGCTAATCGTCTGTCGTTGATCTCTCGCTGTGTCGGCTCCTCCTCGCTGACCGAGGGGACGTTTTCGAAGGCTGAGATATCCATGAGATCTGGGGATTGGGCCATCCCAAGATTGCGATTTGCAGACGCCAAATACTACTGGAAGCGCCTGTTTTGGTCTGTGACAATGTTTGTTCACTTGAGCGCATTAGCAGGTATATTTCATTCATGCAGGCAGCAAACATACCAAGACGTCTATGCTTCCGACGATTCTTGAACCTGACCAAGCGAAAAATCGATACGTCTCTTGCCATGATATCGGACGGCATTTGAGTGTGCAGTAGTTTGTAGGCGTCTTTGTCATAACGGCTGTGTACTGGACAAAGGCCACCTGAAGCAAACAGCTGCGGTGTCTGCCGCAAGCGGCAACTCTACTTGGGGTTGCTTGATCATTCATACCAACCTTGGAACGTCGTCTTCTTTGTGCGTATCACAGACATTTAGATGTAGTTTACAGCTATCGTCTCGGCGACAGCTTTCTCTTTAGCTGCTAGATGTAGAGGGGCCACACGGTTGAATTTAATATGTGAGATTCTGCGTACAGGTCCATGTACAGAAGCGAGCGGACTTTGATGTTCCTCGCTTAATCGGCGCTAGGCCCGATTGGAAAGTTGGTCGCGAGTTCGATCCACGACATCTGTCAGGTAAAGTAGCTTTTTAGTCCACTATATTTCCAGAGATAGCATTTCTAAGCCTAAACGTACCTTTCAATTAGTTCTAACTAGGTTTAGTTTGGCAAGGCTTAATTATCTAGAGCGCGTGCGAGTTCTAACCTAGAGCAACGCTTATTCACTACCTAGATACCTAGGTATATAGGTACTGTAACTTTGCTTACTAGTAACATACTAACAAAAAACAAATTCTAGCCTTTTGAGCAGGTTTTTGGCTAGAAAGTATATATTTTACAGTTTCTCTCTTGTCTTCCCGCTATGTCGCAGTTCTGATGCGTTCTTCTTCGCAGCAGCTGTGAGAAGACTCGTATCGTACGCACCGACTATAAAGCGAGCTCCAAGATCATGTACGGCGTATTGCCAAAGGTCTGGTCGATTTGCTAGACCAGATATACCCCATTGCTTTCCATGGCGCCTCGCGGCTGTCGAAACCATTTGGAGAATCTGTAAGTACTTCGGATCGTCCCATTGCCCAAGGATGTCAAGCTCCATACTTATATCCATTGAGCCTACTTGCAGGACGTCCAAACCTGGTATACCAGCGATGGAATCCAGATTCTCTATAGACTGCAACGTCTCTATCATCACCATCAGCGTGACCTCCTTGCTTTTCAAGATCGACGCGGCATCTTCAACTCTGTGTTTGTCGTGATCAAGGAGGAGGCTTGGATGGATGGAACGATGTCCTAAAGGTGGATACTTCGTGCATTTCACAGCATTGAGGACATCATCTGTGGCCGTTTTAGCTAATCTCCAGTCAATTTCAGAAGATTTCCTCAGTTACCTGCGTCTCGGACGTGAGGGACTATGACTCCCGCTGCACCAGGTTCCAAGAGCCTTTGAATGAAACCATTTCCACATTCAGCAGGCACGCGAACGAAGGGCGAAACGCCAATGTTATTCGCAGCACGACAGATCTGTCCGACTGAGTGGATGTCTAGGCATGAATGCTCTAGGTCGATGAACAGCGCCTCGTAGCCAGCTCGTTGCGCTATCTCGCAGATTTCCACGGTCGCTATCAACCGCACTCCCAATGCCTGCTCCGTTCGTTATTCAGGTACTTAAGTATAGACTCATCGAGTCATTGGCTTTCATACTGCACAGACTCGCTCTTCTTGCACACAACGACCAAGACATCCGTGTAGGGTGGCCATCTTGGATGTTCTAGATGTGCTCAACGGACAGATATTTGCAACTAAAAGCAACGTTTCTCAAAGCTCAAGTGGGAGTGGTCCAACGTTTTCGCAATATGGTGCATCGATCCCACAAGGCTGAAAGTGATTTGCCACGAAGTCAGCCTGATGCGCCCATTCTGCAGCCAAGGAGAGATCAGCGCTCACCTCTGCGAATGGGCCTTGGTTCTTACCGCCATTGATCCCATGATCTGGTCATCTGTAGCGATTGTAAAGGTCATCGAATATGCCTGAGTATAGCCGCACGAATAAGGGGAAGATGCCGTATCTATATCCGTAAGCATCCAAGAAGCGTGTGCCAATATGCAGCTACTTGACGTCAGATCGGTGTGTTTCTTATCGAGAAAGAACTATTGGAGGCAAAATGTAATACCCCAGGGTAATCGAAGAGATATGAGAGGGTGTGCAAGATCTCGTGCAATGCAAGGCAAGCTGGCGTCCTTAGAAGCCAAATTTGACTCCGTCTTAGCGTAGATTAGACGCTCTAGTTCCAATCAATCACTCCACTGCTCGTGTAGCCCCGGTGTTTAGATGAAACCATTTTCAAGGCAATCATTCCGAGTCGAAACACCCACTCACAGAGTGCCGCCTACGACGACATCAAAGCATACGTTGCAGAAGATTGAATGCACGCGGCTGCGATCACTCAGATATCTACCTTCCTTTTTGCGAAGAGCATCGTATGTGGTGTTTCCAAGGACACTTTCTCCTTGGGCGCACACGCACTCCGTTTTGAGGCACCGGTAGAGTTGCCTTCGACGAACATGGCAGCAAATTTCTTCAACATATTGTATGAACCGAGTAGTGCGGACGAAGTCCTCATTGAGTATGGATATGTGACCGCTTGATATTGCAATAGCTAACGCCAGCACAGTATCGTAGCTGTTCACGGGCTCAACCCATCAGGCAAACAAAACCATGCTGAAGCGACATGGACTGCGGAGAAGAGCAAGAAGCTGTGGCTTAGAGACTTTCTCCCCGAAGCCCTGCCGCAATCTCGTATCATGATCTACGGATACAACTCCAGCGTTGCTTTCGGCAGCACGATCATGGGTGTTGAAGATGCCGCCAACAATCTCCTTAATAGACTCTGGATCAAAAGACGAGTAAGAGCTATATCATCGTTTGAATGTGATGATACTAACTTGTACCAGCAAGCTGAGAGCCGTCCCATTATATTCATTTGCCACAGCCTCGGTGGTATCATCGTCAAACAGGTACGCGAGCTCTGGCTGTAGTTGATAAACACGAAGCTGACCTCGGCTGCGTGATCAGGCCATGATTACAGCTCGCCTCAACACCAAGTACGAAGCCATACACCTTGCTACATTTGGAATCGTCTTTTTTGCGACTCCACACACCGGTAGCAAATGGGCCACTCTCGGAGAGATCGTGTCCAAAGTCGGCCGAGCGGTTCTTCTAACCCCACCAAACAATTTCCTCGAATTTCTGAAAGAAAATTCGCATGCTGGGAGGAAATTAGTCCAGGATTTTCGCCACTGCATCGAGAACTACCATGTCATCAGCTTTTATGAAACCGTCCCTCTTGAAAAGCTTGGCATTGTGAGTACTTTGATACAGACTGAGTAAACGGCAGTGCAGCTAATATGAACAGATCGTTGACCAGAGGTCAGCTACATTGGGACTTGGCGGAAAACTGGAAGAGCAAATTGCCCTAGAAGCGGATCATCGAACGATATGTCGGTTCGAGTCAGAAAAGGATGCAAGTTATGAGCAGGTTTCGAGCAACATCGCAGACATGGTAGAAAAGGCAATCTCGGAAGCCAAAGGGAAAGCGACGAGCAGAGCTCGTACTCCTCCGGTCGATCTCACCCTTTCGTCCCCTATAACAGAACATGCACCGTGTACGTCGTGCTCAATCCAAATATGAGTTGTCAAGAATTCTAACCATCTTCATTGCAGTCATATGCTCTTATGCGCAAAATCGCGACTATGTGAGCAGGAAGGAGCTGTTTGAGAGACTCACCAAAACCATGGGGGATAGCGGTGACCCCGGAGATCAAGTCGAGGGCAAGGCTGCTTTGTACGGGCTAGGCGGAGTGGGGTAAGTGTCCCAATCAAGGTTGTACTGTGTGATAAGCAGAGATACCGACCACTGATACGTTCCTGCTTCAGAAAGACACAGATCGCGCTCAAGTACGCATACTGGAGCCGCGAAAGATACCCTGATCGAGCCGTTTTCTGGGTACATGCGTACAGTCGCGACAAATTCATCGATGCGTACCATATGATCGCCGAGAAGTGTAGCATCCCCGGATACCAGGGCCGCAAATCAGATCCAGTGGACATTGTGAAGGCTTGGCTTGAAGAGCGGGGTAACGGAAACTGGTTGCTTGTGATTGATAACGCTGACAGCCTCGACTTTGATCAACCTCAACCATCACCCGGCCTTGCTTCAGGATACGGTCGCTTTTCCACAATCGCTCCACAATTAGCCGATCTACTACCAAAGTGCCCTCATGGGTTTGTCCTAGTGACTACACGAAACATAAGGATGGCGTCTATACTAGCGCAGCAGAACCTCATCTCTGTGGTTAGAATGACCGAGGAAGAAAGTTTAACACTTGTTCACAACTTTCTACCGCACATTGACTTCAACGATGTTGCAGTAGCCAAAACAGCTGACGAGCTAGTGGCAACGCTCGAACATTTGCCACTCGCGCTAGTCCAAGCGACTAAGTACATCCACCAGAAGCACATCAGCATCACAAGATATCTCCAGATATACAACGCGAATGAAAAAGACGCCTACACTCTTCTCACGGAAACAACAAATACTGCTTACGAAGATCGCGACCCACGACGGACGGCGGTTGCCACAACATGGTTGGTCTCTTTCCAAGAGATAGAGTGTGCTATGCCATATGCTGCTGAGTTGTTGTATTTGATGGCATTTTACGACTTGAAATCGGTTCCTGCGACCCTTCTTCGCAAAGACGGTGCCACGATTGGAGCATTCTACGAAGCCATTGGCAAACTGCTCGCTTACTCTTTCATAACTCGAAATGAAGAGCAGGATGATCAGCAACCCTGGAGCGAACAGTACAACATGCACAGACTGATACAGCTTACAACTAGGAGATGGCTCGACACCCAGTATGAGAAAAGACCTTGGTATCTTTCTGTATTCGGATATGTACCATACATCAGTGGCATCCGTGCAGCAAAGCAAGAATCGAAGTTGCTGATATGGGCCATGAGAGCACGAGATCGAATGCTTGAGAGGTTCCCTTCCGAAAGCTATGAGTCCTGGGATTTATGCGCGGCACTTCTTAGGCATGCGCAAAGTGTGATCAAGTTCATTCGCGAGTTAGAACCTGTCTTTTCTGAAGAAACAGACACCCTGATGGACAGAGTTGCTACGTACCTGGTTGACAGAACGGAATTGAACGAAGCCGAGACTGCGTTGAACGAACTACTCGCGGTCAGGCATCAATATCGCGGTCAAAAGGATGCGAAGACTATCGACGCTCGAAGCCAACTTGCAATGGTAAAATTCAAGCAGGGAAACTACCGCCAGGCCGCAATAGGCTATGAGAATGCCCTCCGAGACTATCAAGCTTGTCATGGCGCGCCCGAAAGAGTCATCATGGACACAACTTGGCGCCTAGCGAATGCAATGTTGGAGTTGGGAGAATACGGGCAAGCAGAAGATCTTTTCAACAGGGCGATTATGGGGTACAAAACCGCTGAGCGAATGGATAGCGACCTGATACGGAGTTCAACAGGCGCAATGCAAGGTCTCGCCATCCTTTATGAGAAGCAAGGCAAGTTTTCGGAAGCAGCAGCACTACAAGCACAGACAGTCGGGCTCCAGATGACTCATCTCGGCGAAACACATCCAGAGACTCTACGTACTCAACAACATCTGGCTATCGTACTCAACAAACAAGGCCGAATACCCGAAGCAGTCAGCATATATCGCAAGACATTGGTCAGCCAAGAGACTCGACTCGGCTGCGACCACATCGATACCCTCCGCACAGGACGCAACTTCGCAAACGCATTAGTAGCAGACCACCAGTACCTCGAGGCAGAAACCCTCTATCAACGCGTGATAGCAGGTTACGAACGCCAACTTGGTGCCCTACACCCAAGCACCCTAGGGTCTAAGCACAATCTCGCAAATGCATACCTCCAACAAAATGAAGCGGCAGCATCTGTCAAACTTTTTCAATCTATCCTGGAGAGCAAGCGCGAAAAGCTCGGCGTTCAGCACCCTAGCACACTCATGACGCGACAATGTCATGCTCACGCGCTTGCGCACTTAGGTCAAGTCGAGCAAGCGGAGAGTGAGTTGAGGGAAACCTTGGGACAGCTTGAAAAGGTGCAGGGTGTCAAGCACCCGGATACCTTAGAGACAGCATACAACCTTGCATGCTTGCTAGAGAAGCGTGGTGAAGTAGATAGCGCGAGGGATATGTTCGAGCGGGTTGTAGCGGGCAGGATTGAGAGATTGAGAGTAGAGCATCCGGACACCAGCAAAGCTATAGCACGCTTGTCTAGACTAAAGGCAAAAGGTTAGGTACCTAGGTAGTAAGCAGCTCTTCCCTCATTAAATCTTCTCAAAAAATCGTCTATCTGTCCCTTCGCAGAGCACGGAATAAGTGACGACATTAGAGTAATATAGCTAAAGTTCTCTTGTAAAAAGACCTCTTAGGCTTAAGCGCGAAAGACAGAGAAGGATATCGGAGGGACGGTGGGAAGGCTTACTCGAGAGACGAGTGGGGTGCCCCTAAATGCCTCGGCTCCACAGCTCCCATGGTGCCCACTGCCGCTAGCTGTGTGGTCAAACGTCACTAGCTGGCGACAACGGGGTGTCGCGGAAAGTTGATGAGTGGATTGTATCTGATCAAGTCTCATCTGTTGTCTATGCGAATATTGGATATTGCGCGATTGTAGCATTTTTTATACGTTTCGTTGTGGCTCCAAATCTATTGGCTACCGGTTATGTCAGGTAATCTCGCGTCAGCCTGTAACCACACGGCGCAGCTCGCTGACACATTGCACTGCCAGTTCTTCCCTTTGCGCTGCCCGCCGCCGCAGCTGGTCTCGCGTATCTTAACGGCCGCCATGGCTTCACCTTCGACTGGCCCCTCTTGTCCTCCTTCATCGGCAGCAGCATCGCCGGCGCGCAGCAGGAACGACGCGACACGCTGAACCTCTTCTACGAACTCGAGGCGCATGCCCACTCCTCTGCGCGCGCAGACCATGCGTGGATCATCTTCCAGGGCAAGACATGGACGTATGCGCAGGCTTACGACGTGGTGCTGCGGTACGGGAACTGGCTGAAGAGCAAGGGCGTGGAGAAGGATGAGATTGTCGCAATGGACTTTGTCAACTCAGACGTCTTCATCTGGGTCTGGTTTGGCCTCTGGAGCATTGGCGCGAAGCCCGCCTTTATCAACTACAACCTCTCCGGCAAGCCGCTGGTCCATACCGTCAAGACGAGCACCGCGCGCTTGGTGCTGGTGGACCAGGAGAGCAGGGACAAGTTCAGCGAAGACGCGCTGAAGGAGCAGGGCCTCACTCGCGTCCACCACGCAGACAAGGTCAAATACACGTTTGAGCAGGAACCGTCCGACGTCCCACAATCAGTCAAGAACCAGACACAGACTCCCCAAGCCGCCGTCGAAGCAGGCGCCGTCTCTGAGCCTTTGACTGCGCAGCGAAACCTCGAAATCATCTTCTTCGACGACGCCCTGACCTCGACCATCCTCACGCACCCGCCGACGCGCCTCCCCGACTCGGCTCGCTCCGACCAAAAGCGCAGCAGCATGGCCATGCTCATCTACACGTCCGGCACGACGGGCCTGCCCAAACCCGCCGTAATGTCCTGGGGCAAATGCGGCGGCGGCGCAAAGTTCGCCGCAAGCTGGATGTCACTAAAGAACGACATCGTCTACACCTCCATGCCCCTCTACCACAGCTCCGCCTCCGTCCTGGGCGCCTGCGCCGTCCTACGCGCGGGCAGTACAATCCACCTATCCAAGAAATTCTCCCACAAAACCTTTTGGCCCGAAATCCGCTCCTCACACGCCACAATCCTGCACTACGTCGGCGAAACATGTCGCTACCTGCTCTCCGCGCCGCCCTCCCCGCTCGACAAACAGCACCACCTGCGCGCCGCCTTTGGCAACGGCCTGCGCCCGGATGTCTGGGAACCCTTCAAACAACGCTTCGGCATCGCCACAATCTACGAATTCTACGCCGCAACCGAAGCCCCCGGCGCCCTCTTCAACTGCTCGTCAAACTCCTTTTCCAGCGGCGCAATCGCCCGCAACGGCCTCCTCGCCAACTTCCTCATGACGCGCAAACTCACCCTCGTGCGTATGGATCCCAACGCTGATCCCCCGGAGCCCCTCCGCGACCCCAAAACCGGTCTGTGTCACATCAGCGACTACAACGAACCCGGCGAGTTACTAGGTAAACTCGACGCGGACAATATAAAAGACGGGTTCCAAGGCTACTACGGCAACGAGAAGGCGACCAACTCGAAGATCATTCGGGATGTAAAGGCGAAAGGGGATGCGTATTTCCGGTCTGGCGATCTCATGCGCTGGGACGCGGAAGGGAGGTTCTGGTTCGTCGATCGCATTGGCGATACGTTTCGTTGGAAAGCGGAGAATGTGTCTACGGCTGAGGTATCGGAGGCTGTGGGCAAACACGAGAGTGTCGCTGAGGCGAATGTATACGGCGTTAGTGTTCCGGGACATGATGGGCGCGCGGGGTGCGCGGCGATTGTGTTTGAGCAGGGGGTTGGTGAGGTGGGGGAGAGGTTGCTTGCGGAGCTGGCGCAGCATGTTAAGAGAGAGTTGCCGGCGTTTGCGGTGCCTGTTTGGATTAGGGTCACCAGGGAGATGCAGTTGACGGGGACTAATAAGCAACAGAAGGTTGAGTTGCAGAAGGAGGGGATTGATCCGAGGGTTGTCGAGGAGAAGGGGGATACGTTGTATTGGTTGAGAGACGGGACTTATAAGAGGTTCACGGTAGAGGACTTGAAGAAGATCGAGGGCGGGAGTGTGAAGTTATGAGGACATTAGAATGGATGTTGTATTGTGTAAGATAAGGGTTGGGTAGATGTAATGATAGACGATATTGAGATTGTTCCAAGTCACTTGGCTGCTTTCCCCTTCCGCGTCTTCCTTGGTTTCTTCGCTGTGGGCTCCTTGTAAAGCTCATCTTCTTCCTCTTCCTCAACACTGACAGTCGCATCTCCATCCTCCTTTTCAGCCAAAGACACAGGCTTACTTGCAGCCTTCCTCTTCTTCCTGCCTGTCCCGCCAGTAGTCGTCTCATGCACAGCTTCTCCCTCTCCACCTGCAGTCGCCACTCCATCTCCTACCTCTCCATCCTTTCCCGCCAACCGATTCAACGCAGCACCCAACCTCTTTCCAGCCGCCCCAGTACCCTTCTTCTTCCCACTCGGCCCACTCTCCGCATTCCTCACTCTCGGCGCAAAAGCGCCAGCCCCGACACCCCCCTCAAAGAACCGAGTAATATTCGCCTGCGTACCCTCCTTCTCCCTGCGATTCATATCCTTGATAACAGGGACAAGCACCTCATCCGTCCTCTCAGGACTCCATCCAATCTGAGAACTCAAGAAAGAACGCAAAGCAGCTAGATCGGGGACACCCCATTGGAACGGCTCAGGGTCACTGTCGACCTCGGGATGAAGATAAGCTTCCGCTACGCGAGGATCTGGGAACCCTGGCGGTAGAAAGAGTTTGGTAGCCTGATTCTTGCGAAATCGTTTTCGGAACGGTTTCTTTGCGTCTTCTTCCTTCTTGATTGTCCCACTTTGGACGCCATCCCACCATGTTCGGAAAGACTCTAGGTCTTGAAACTCGGAGAGGATTTCTAGCGCGGTTACGGGCCCGATGCCTGGAATGCCTGTTGTGTAGTCGCTGCCAAGTAATTGGGCGATTGCAATCATCTTCTCGCGTGTGAGGCTGAATTCATTGGTGAGGTCTTGGGCGAGGTAGCATTCGACAAATTTGGCTGCGTTGAACATGTTCTTGTAGACACGCGTACCACCGAAGAGGAAGGTATCGGAGTCGTCGGTCACGATGCCGTCCACGAGGCCGAGTGTGACCAGTTCAGCACATTGCGCTTCGGCTTCCATGGGGGCTGTGATGTACGGCAGTCCGAACAAAGTTAACAAGTGCTGGCACTCGGATATCATGGTCTGGGTGACTTCATCCGCATCTCTACGGTCTTTCTTTTGCTGTGCACGGAGCTGTTTGAGCTCGTCATCGAAATTGACCCTGGCTGCAGTGTTGTTGGACAGTTCTTGAGCGAATCGCGCATGCTCTTCTGCTTCTTTCGCTAGAGATGCGAAGAGTTCTTCGTCCTCGGGATCAGAGTACTGATCCGAGTCGTTACCTTCAGGCATGTCTAGAGGTGCGCTGTCATCTGCTACGCCACTGTGGGGGACGATAGGCTTTGTCAGATCGTCTGGACCTTGCAAAGGCGATAGCTCCCTTGGTGGTCGACGTGGTCGTTCCTGGCGAATGGGAACATTCTCAAACACTGGCGATGGTGATTTTGGGGGTGCAGCTGCTGAAACAGGTTCGCCCTGCATAGGCACGTCCTCAAACTCTGGCGATGCCGACTTAGTAGGTTCGGTCAAATCGGCTGTCTCCGTTTGCATGGGTACATCCTCAAACTCTTCGGATTCTTCGGACGGAGACCTTGGAGGGTGCACAACGATCGGCTCTGACTTCCCGTCAGTGGTCGACTTCTGCTGTACATGTCTCTCGTCTTCAGGCTCGCTCTCAGACCAGTCCACTGGCTCATCATCAGAATCATCCGCAAATGGGGTCTTCTTCACCAAACTAGGATCTTGGCGGGGAGGCGACTTCTGCTGCGGAGAAAGCAGTTTAGGGGGCTCCGCCTTGACTTTGTCAGCGAGATCGCCCATCCTCAATTTGGTATCCTCAATTGGAACGTCTTCCATCTGTGCATCAGCCTCGTCGTCTGAGTCGATCGCAATTACTTGCTCCTGATGCTGGCTAGCGGGCGCATCCAAATCGATAACCTCCTTGGTCTCTGGCTTTCGAAGGGTTGGGAGCTGCTGGAACTGGAATCTGGACTTTTCCTCCTGACGTGCTTCTTCCCACTGTTCCTTCTCCTCTTGCCGCTGAGCATTCACTTCTTTTGCAATATCTCTTTGGCCGCTGAACCACGGTGGAAGTGGCACAGCATCCTTCTTATCCTGCCCATAGTCCTTCTCGAAACCGCCTGCGTTGTCTTCTTCGAGCTTGTCCATTTTCTTCTTGCCTAAAAGAGAGTTGCCTAGGTTGAGTCTTTCGAAGGGTAGCGGCCCATCAAAACCGGCAGCGTTCTTCGGCTTTGGCATAGACTTGACAGCGGGTGCTGGTGCTGGGCCCTGTTGTGTAAATGACGACTTCCTTGGTTTAACTGGGCGTTTGGACTTCCGAGACTCCGCTAGTGCAGCCTGTAAGTCCATATCCTCTTCGCTGTCGCTTCCTTCAAAAGGGCCTTTTGGAGCAAGCTTGTTACTGCGTTGATTGGCAAGCCTTGCGATAGCCATTCCAGAACCCTTCGTTCCAGCGAAAGGATTCGCTTCAGCAGCACGCTTCTGTTCAAAAACTTCACGCACCGGATCGTCGTCAGATTCTTCAGCAACCGCTTGCTTCTCGGGCTGCATTGACAAGGCAATGGCTTGCTGTAACTGCTCGTTCTCAACATCATCCCCTGCATCATCTACATCGTTCGCCCCGTTCATCGGAACGTTCTCCCAGTCTTCCTCTTCTTCGTTATCATCCGCAAGGAACAACGAGTCTGGATCCTGGTTGACCGGGGTAGCCCTTTGCGGTTTAGACTGTACTGGCTTCTCTTTCCTCGACTTGTAAAGGTTTCTGCGTCGTGTCGCAAGCTCGTTCGCGATGAACTCACGGCCCTCCTTCTCTTGAACGCTCAAGCCCCCCTTGGGCTTTGGCAGCCTGTTCAGGCCCTCAATAGGAACGTCCTCGAAGTCTTCATCGTCCTCCCATTCTTGTTCTTCTTCAGCAGGACGCTCTGGTAGGTCCACGTTGATCGGCTTGTGAGCTTTGCCCTCTTCCTTGTTCAGCACAACTCCGAGGGCCCAACCGCCTTCTACTCCGTCGTTCTTGACGAGAACATACTCCCTATCTCTCTCGCCCGCAACGCGATTGAATCCGCCTGCGCCAAATGCATCGTCGTTCATCCCGTTGAGGTTCATCAATCGCTGCGTAAGTTCGTTACGTTCGCGCACACGCTCGATTTGGAACTTGGAGAAAGCCATCCTGTCTGGAAACATTGCATCAAGCTGTTCTTTTGAGTGTCCCATCCTGAGTCGACTTCGTAGCCTGGCTGCGTTCAAGATATTGTACCTATCAGCCGGAGGCAGGCTCTGGAAGAAATGACCATCGAAGTCAATCTTGGAGAAGTCATAGACATTGATATCTTCGCCTCTGTCAAATTGACGTGCGTACTCCTCCAGCTCTTCGAGCGACATGACTCTGGGATCATTCGCAGCCCCCATTTCTGACATGGACTTGCCCAGGTCCGGAAGGTGATATTGGTCCTTCTTCTTGAAGGTGCGATTTTCTGTTCGCTCCTGGGGCGTCTGCAGAAGCTCCTCCGCATAGACCAGATTATCGGGTATCTCTTCCTCCTGTTGCGGTGGCTCCTCCCTTGGGTGCTTTGCAGCTTCTTTCCTCCTCTTCTCTTCCTCCTCAGCAGCCCTCTGCATTTGTATAGCCAGCAACTTTCCAGCTGTACGAACCGCATCTTCTCGTCTACCTTCACGTCGCGACTTGCGGTTGTTGATGGTTTGTCGCTTCAGCGCCGGTGCGCCGCCATCGAAGACGAAGACGGGCTTGATGCCGATGAAGAGAAGCTTGCATACTCGGCGAAAGAAACCGACGATATGGCTGTTCCGCAAAGCGTTTCCTTCCTTGTCGCGCACGGCCTTGAGGAACTGGTATATCCAGATGGAGGCATCGACGGCGAGGCGCTTCTTGTTCAGCGTTTCGATCTTGATCGGCCGCGCGCAGGGCTGCAGAACGGTCCAGAGGCCAGTGACACCCATGGCGCTCTTCTGGGGGCGTTTTCCATCTGTTTGGAGGGATGGTAGTGGTCGTCGAGTTAATTTCTGAAAGGCGTAGGCTGCCGTGTGATCGCGCGTTCAGAGCGTGTTCTCGATGACGACATGCCAAGCCTGCCAAACGCGACTATCACGTGCGTAAGCGCTAGCGTCGTCGCGAGAGCATCCGGACATATGCGAGATATAAGTCTCAAGAAAAGATAGAAGAACATTATGAGGCAAGGGGATTGATGATGCTAGATCATGCCTTCGTACACTGTCTACGTTCTATACGACTTTCGCGGCCTCAAGAAGTGTGTCATAAGCTGAAGATGAATAACTTTGCCATTAATATTCTTACATTCTAATCTAGGTATAAGGTGAAGGAAGGCAATCTATAAACCCTGACCCTCGAGACCAAGACCCACTCCAACGTTTTGCACTTCGTCTCGGTCTTCCTCGTCGTCACCGAAATCTGCTGCCTCGCCATGATCCTCAGCGTCCTTCATACCAGCATCGGTGTCGCCAAACATGCCTCCTTTGTGCTGCTGTCTGCGCCTTGATACATCTTGACTTCCCTCGGCATCATCCGAGTCGTCGAAAACTCTACTCTGCTTTCTTCCCGTAGGGACGTCTATAATGTCGCCGCTTGGTCGAAATTCGAACATCGAATTAGGACGGTCGTGACTGAATGGCGAATCGCGGGGACGAGCTCTGAGGGCTGTAGAGTGTGTTGTGGCTTGTGGCGACATAGCGGACCACCATCCGCTCAATCGTTTTCCCAACGATGGACTGTCGGGGGCGTCTGGCTTCTCGGCAGTGTTTGCTAGATCAACTGGCGCATTCTTCTTCTTACGACCGAATGTAAGGCCAAGGGGGAGATTCACTGGCGAGCTAGGCCGCGATGGTCCTGCAGTGGAGGAGGACTCTGATTCTGAAGCTGGGTATGGAGCCCCACCGTCAGGGCCATCGCTCCCTGTGCGCTTGAGCAAGCTACGAAGGTCTTCTTCACTGAGAGTGTTGACAATATCGTCATCGCGTGCCCCACGAGGTCTGAATCTCCGTCTTCCTTCCTGAATGGCATATTCCAACTTGGCACGATTCGCGATGAATTTCAGCTTTGGGAAAGCCGACTGTTGGCCAACATGTATCATGCGTGCTAGTCGCTCTGGGGTTGGGTCCGTGAGGATATATAAAAAGTCTGAAGGTATGGACTTGGGCCAGATGGTAATGGTCCCACTGAAGCGTTGTAGCCAGAGTTCACTCCAGTCCTGGCCTAGTGGTCGCGGTAGAAGCTCGAGATGGCGAAGCACCTTTAGCCATTTGTTGAGATCGAGCTTGAGATACTGGATCAATTGATTAGCATGCGTATTGAGACTCCGTTGTGTGGTTGACGTACTTGCTCTGTGGCGGAACCAAGGAAACCACCTCTCCATCCGCGTCCACGGCGATGGGTGACAGGTCGACCAACCGAGCCACGGGATGAGAAGAAGAAGATATTGATATGAGGGTTGACCTGGCTGACGATTGAAAATCGGACGTTAAAGTGGAGGTTCAACGCTTTTAGTGGAATGTCCGTCCGGAGACTTCCATCCTTCCACTTGTGTCCAAAAGAGTAGGGTGAAAGAGTGCCGTCCTTGTTCTTTTTCATGAGGACCACTGGGTTGAGAATTCCAGGCACGGCAGCAGATGCCAAAACTGCTGACCAGACAACACAGTCTGGAGCCGTGATGTAGTTGGCTAAGATGGTCGGAGAGTGGGGGTCGGAGGGCACGCAAGAGACGTTCAGTATACGTCCAGTCCTTTGATATGCTTCCTTGAACGTCAAACTGCCACGAGTCATCCAGGCGCACTTCTTTGCCCAATCGACGCTGTCGAATCTCGCTCCAGTCTTGTACCATCTCTTTGACCATGTAAGAATGCCTTCGTGGCAAGCCGTGATGCGATGGGCCAGAGCGGGTACCAGTAGTTTCTTGAGTTCGTCGTCGGTCCTCGTGCATAGCAGTGCAGCCACGAGAGCTCCACCAGATGTACCAGTGATGACTTCGGGCAGCAATTCGGCGTCCATCAGAGCCTTGGCCACACCGAAGTGGTAGTATGCAAAGGTCGCTCCTCCAGACAGACATAGCGCAGTGCGACCGAAGTTGCTGCCGAGGTGTTTGAACAGGGCGCGCTTGTTCTCTGCATCGAGCTGCGTGGTTTGTAGGAGGAAAGTGAGCGACGTCTCGGCTTCGTCGACGAATTTCTGGACGAGGTCTTTGGTTCCGTAGTATGTCTCGCTGTACAGTCGGGGGTTTTCGAAGCCTACGAAGTTGTTCTTCATGGAGGCTAAATGTGACGTTAGATGTGTTCTGCGGCGTGGGAAAGACGGGGCGCTTACCTTCTAGGAGCGCGCGAAGGTCCTCGACAGCCGTGTGTTGGCCTTGAGAGGCTTTTGATCCTGGCCCGCTCTTCTCTTCTGCTTCGGCCTTTTCCCGCAGTTTGACCATCTGCTGGTGTACTCTTGCAATCGTCTTGCTGTCGTAGTAGGCATAGTCGGCCTTCTCCTTCCACGACTCGTTGCCCAGATATGCGTCGAGCTCCTTTGCGCCCTCAATCCACTCTTGGTAGGATCGCGCATCCTGCAACCGCTGCCTTAGTCTCTGCCGTGTGCCTCGCCATGTGATCCAGTGCTCGTATAGGTATATGTACAGGCGAGTAAAGACGTAGGCGATGCTGAGGAAGAACAGCCACCCCAGCACGACCAGGAGCAGCGGCCACTTGAGCAGCACATAGACGAAGCCTTCGCGCGTCTCGTCCTTGCCGCGTCGCGGGGGCGCCTTGCTCTTCTTGCGCCGCTTGACGCGCTGGTGGACCGGCCGCCAGTCGTTTTGGGCGGAGATGAAGGTTCGATCGGGCGGCAGAGCCGTGAGGTCTTCGGTGGATGGTGAATTCTCAGGCGCAGCAAGGGCTTTCTCGAATTCGATAAAATGGTCTTCTTCGACAAAGTCGTTCGCGTAGTCGGGCAATAGGGTGAAGTCGAAGCCCGTCGAGCAATATGGCTCGGGGCCATCCGTCTTCTTGTCTACGTCAGCCATGAGGGGGAGAAACGTCGGGTGTAAATCGCATCGTCGAGACGGTTAGGGGAGACGACTCAGGTGATGTCGAATGGGCGTGTTGGCATGTGAGGCTCGAAGCTTCGGGTGCTAGCCAGTACGTCACAGGGCCCAGGCCGCTCGGAACCCTTCCGCCGGTAATGCAGAATTGTGCATCAACACCACGTCTCGCCGACACCAAGCCCTTGCCGACCTGCGAGGCATGCGACCTCGATGCAGAACACTCCAAGCCGTCGTCCGATCGCGAATCCTTCCGCCCCCGCAATGGAGGCCTCGCCGCTATCTGATGACGCTGGCCATCGAGACGTCTTGCGATGATACCTCGGTCGCCATAGTGGAAAAAGAGACTCGGCACGGCCGGACGACAGCGCAGTTGCACTTCCACAAGAAAGTGACATCGGACAATGCCGTCTATCAGGGCGTTCACCCGCTGGTGTCCCTTCTGTCGCACCAAGAGAACCTGGCCATGCTTCTCCATGAAGCTATGCGCTCTCTGCCGATGCGAGATGGAGGGATTCCTCCAGAAGATGCGCAAGCAAGCACAGTCGATCTCGCGACACGAAGGCTGCCTGATTTTGTGTCTGTCACTCGTGGGCCAGGCATGCGCAGTAATCTCTTCACGGGTCTTGATACCGCCAAGGGACTCGCTGTAGCATGGCAGGTACTGCGCGAGCTTCTCTCTACGGACTTGCTGCTGATACCGATACTAGAAACCTCTCGTCGGAGTCCACCACATGCAGGCTCATGCGCTTACGCCACGCATGGTCAGCGCCCTCGAAGCCCACATCGAGCCTGAACACAGCGGCATCTACGATTCGACGTCGATACAAACCACGCCAAAGTTCCCGTTCCTATCCATCCTCGCCTCAGGTGGTCATACGCTGCTCATACACTCGGCGTCTTTGACGGACCACCGCGTGCTGGGTTCTACAAATGACATTGCTGTGGGAGAGTGCTTGGACAAGATCGCTCGTGTAGTGCTGCCTGCAGAGTTACTAGAAACATCAAAGAGCACCATGTATGGAGCGCTCCTCGAGGCATTTTCGTTGCCCGATCGCTCCCGCAAGTCAATATCTGGCGACGCATCAACCCATGTAACGAAGCCACCAACTTATTCAGCCAAGACATACTTGGATGCTCATGGACACCTATACGATTGGTACGAAGTTCCGTTGAATCATGAAGACGCCATGCAGAAGAGCGCGACAAAATGGGGCTGGGCACTCAATCGGCCCCTGACTAAATCAGGTGGAGGTGTCAAGATCAACAGTCTTGAGCTGAGCTTTTCAGGTATTACGACAATGGTTGAGCGCATCGTTCGATTTGGTATGGATCCGGTCACTAGAAAATTCAACAAAGTCGAGCGAACGGCGGCAGACGTTAGCCTTGAAGAGCGCATGGACCTTGCACGCGAGACCATGCGCGCAGCTTTTGAGCATGTCGCTTCCCGAGTAGTTCTAGGCTTGCAGACTCAAGAAGATACTCTAGCCGTGCCTGCGGTTGTCATGGCGGGTGGCGTGGCTGCCAACTCGTTTCTCCGGCACATGTAAGTCTGCCTGCAGTAGCAAGAACACATAATTTCGTCGACTGGGATGCTAACGGCTGTAAGACTTGCGAAGACGCTTTGCGCCCATGGTTATCCGGATGTTGAGTTGCATTTTCCACCGCCCAAGTTCTGCACCGACAATGCTGCAATGATAGGTTGGGCTGGTCTTGAGATGTATGAAGCGGGTCACGTCTCCCCACTCAGCATAAGGGCAATACGCAAATGGCCTCTGGACAAGCTGTTGGATCCCCCGGCGGACGGGTAAAACTTTGACGTTACATACCACGTGCATGAACACAAATTGTGCGAGCATTCCTCGACACCTCGCCAAAACACAAAACATCAGCTGGTCCCTGCATTGGCTTCTTCATCAGCCAGACATGCGTCTATCAAGACCATGTCGGCTACCGGCAGGAAAGTATGGCTGGCTTCAAGCAGATGCCACACTGGCTGAAAAACTGCCAAGGACGTTATCTGTACGAGTATCTACAAGACTGATCTCGTCTTGTTTAAACATAGATGATCTGGAGCGTAGATGGACTGCATGGTACCCTGGAGTAAGTCGCTACCAGCTTCCACCTTTCCCAAAGCGAGTGTTGAAATCCTCGCCTGCCATTTTAGTCTGGACAAGAAAGCGCCAAGCATGTCCGCCTCCAGACCAGGCGAGGACGGTACACAGATAACGTTTTGAATACGTTGGGCGATGTAGAGCTGGATCCGTCTTATATGAAGCTGCAAGGGCATTGCATTAGCGACCCCGGACTTCTCGGTTGTTCGCATGCATGTCACGATCACATCAAATATCCAGCAATTAGCCAAACAACGTGCACTTTAATTCTGCCGACGGTCCCACGTTTCGCCAAATCAACGCTCTATAGAGTACGATTTATCGCTATATTTAGGCCTTTGCAGGTCATGCCACAGCTGCACCCGACGGCTATCTGGATATATTGCGCTGCGAGATCGAAAGCACGACCTAGAGCCCGGAACCACAACTATCAAGCATCGCTAATGCAATGTCTGGAGTATCGCACACGTGCAAGCGATGTTCCGTACGGCACGATGGTGTCCAGGCTCGTATCTTTCATTTACAGACAGTATCGTCGCTTGTGCGGTCAGGCCGGCCAGAATGGTGAGCCGAGCGAAGTCTATAACTCTGCCGTACATTCGCGAACATTGAGTTGATGCTGAGATGTCCTTATAACCTGTCAACCAATCCTTCGTGAGACTCTGCTGATTGAACATGGCTCCTGCAAGGAACACTGTGCTGGCACTGCTAGGCCTTGCCATAAGGTTAGTCATGTCTACTAAGCTGGCAAGCTGTCACTAACCTTCTTATAGCATTCGCGCAGCACCTGCTGGCTTACAACATCGCCAGATTGGCGTTCTTCCACCCAAACAGAGTGTCTCTTGGGACACTGGCAACTCAGAGCCCACCGAAGAGCCACAAGAGCCCGTTGTCCCATCCAAGTCAACTGATGAGATTAGCCTTGGAACACCATCGGGCTGGATCAGCTGGGAAACCACCGGCCCAGCTCCCACAAATGCTCCAGAAGAACCTGAGTACCCGCCTCCAGCCAAGCCTACGGATCAATTCAGTATTGGTACACCGTCCGGCTGGATCAGCTGGGAGACGAGCGGGCCTGCACCCACACCTGCTCCCCAAGAACCCGACTACCCTCCTCCTTCTAAGCCGACGGATCAGTTTAGCATCGGTAAACCATCCTTCTGGGTGAGCTGGGCCACTGATGGGCCCGAGCCAACTCCTGAACCGGAAGAGCCTGAGGAGCCTGGATACCCTCCACCTAAGCCTAGCGATCAGTTCAGCATCGGGAAACCATCTTACAGTATCACCTGGGACGGAGATGGTCCAGGTGCGTCCTCAACGCCTAAGCCAGAACCGACACCTACACCGGAACCAACGCCGCCGCCAAAGCCAACTTCGAAGTACTCCTCCATCGTAACTCTTCCCCCTATCTGGTCGAACTCCAGTATGACTAGCTCCGCTTCTGTCACGAGTTACAAACCTCCAGTGTCTTCTTCTACTAAGTCTGCCTCATCGAGTAAGATTTCATCTACCAAGAAACCCGGCTACCCTCCATGGAACCCATGGCCACCGAAGCCAACGACGATGAAGTCCACCGCAAAGTCCACTATGACGTCTACTAAGAAGCCAACTTCGACGCCGAAGCCGTCGACGACTGCTAAGCCAACACCTTCCCCAGCTCCAGTCCCCTCAACAACCAAGAGCGCTATCATCAGCCTCTCTCCGCCTAAGTTCAGCGTGAGCTGGGATTTGAATAAGAGAAACGCAAAACCAACTTCTACGACTACCAAGAAGTCTAAGACGAGTAAGACTATGATGACAAAGACTACCACGAAGAAGAGCACTTCAAAGAGCACGTCAAAGTCTACCTCCAAGTCATCATCAAAGTCATCTTCAGTAGCTACAACAACGCCTAAGCCTACATATACACCCAAGCCTACGCCTACACCAACACCATCTCCTACTCCAACACCCACTCCAACACCGACGCCCAGTCCTCCTCCCCCTTCCACAACCCCAAGTCCTCCCTCTACTTCCACCTCCACACGTTCAGCAGACATCACCGTAGGTCCACCCAACTACAGCGTAACCTGGGACTACGACGAGCCCGAACCAACAGCTCCTCCCTCAGAAGAAGAGCCCTACCCCTCCGACCCAGAAGAACCCTTCCCGGAGGAGCCATTTCCCGAGGAGCCTTTCCCAGAAGACCCAGAGTACCCAGAAGACGATTTCCCGCCCCCCTCCCAACCAACCCAAGCAAACAGCATCGGCCTGAACCCACCCACCGTAACCGTAATCTGGGGCAAAAAGCGCCAAGAAGACGATGATGCCTTACCCACATCTTCACCTAACCTCCCCGCAGACAGCGAAGACCCCGATGGCCCCATAGAAATCCCCGCTAACCCCGCGCCCACGCAACCCAACAGCGTCGGCCTCAACCCCCCAACCTACACCGTCATCTGGGGCAAAGAGAAGAAGCGCGCGCCTGAACCTACTGCCGCCCCTGCCCCCGCTGTAGCTGTAGCAGAACGAGAAGCAGTGCCAGCGCCGCAGAACAGTATTGGGCTGGAGTTCCCTTGGCAGAGTATCTCGTGGCCGAAGCCTGAGCCGCCGACGTATATCTCGTGGGGGAAAAGGGGGCCGGTTGCGCAGCCTACGGCTGTGCCGGGGAGGATGGAGACGGTTTATGTTAGGGGGGCTGAGTATACGGTTTGGAAAGAGAAGTATGTTACGGAGTTGGGGAGATGATATGAGAGGAGGTTGATGGATTAGTTGATAGGTGTGTGTGAAGGTCTGAATGGGAAATTGGTGGATGTAGCATACGTACCCTCGCTGATGTGTTTTCTCGGTATCCCGAATTCATCTTCTTTCCTCATGACTTCCTTCATCCTTCAGCTCGCTATGGTGCAACTTGATCACTCATTCTTTCTACTCCCATGTTGGATGTACTTCCTTTCACTCTCAAGGCTGGCAGACCCACATGTACACGCAAAGTCAAGAAGTATCATAGACATTACTTGTTTACGTAAATCAAGGCAGAAGTACCCAAAGCTATTGTACAAAATCCTAATTTCAATGCTCAAACCGGCAAATTGAACCACGGCAATAACTACGACCTGCGCTTGATCGCAGCCAGTTCCATGAGGACTGTGTTAGTGTCTACGCCCCCTGGCTACGCACCTGAAGCTTCTTAGGCTTCTTCTTCGTTTTCGGCTCTTCAGATGTCGTGGAGCCATCTGGCTTCTCATCCTTCTGCGCAGGGGCATTCTTCTTATCAGCCGCATCACCATCTTTACTAGGTGCCTGTTTAGTCGACTCCGTTTTCTTCAACTCTGGCTTCTTTGGTGTATCCTTCTTCTCCGCCGTGTCGTCCTTCTTAGGTTGTTGCGCTTCTTTAGGCTTTGGTTTCGTGTCATCTGCTTTGTCCTTCTGGTTCAGCTTCTTCGGTGCTTTCTTCGCTTTGCCAGATGCGACGGATGAGGCGAGGTCTTCGCCTTCTTGGACGTCTTCGACCATGAAGTTGGCTGCCATGCAGCGTCCGCCGTTCTGCTTGCCTACGTCCATGGGGCAGGCGCTGAATACAATTACTACGTCTCGCTCAGCGCGGAAGCGGACGTGGCAGCGTTTCTTGCCCTTGGGCTCATCGACGCTGAGTGTCACGCCCTTTGTGCCTGCGCCGTCACTGTGGGATGTACCTTCTGATTGCAGAGGCGCGTTCATGAAGAGATGAAGGGGTGTCGGTGCGATGTTGACGGAGATGTCTGCGCCAACTGCTTTTGGGCCTTTCAGTCCCGCCGTCTCGTTGATCTCCTTGAGTGCGAGAACGAGGTTCTCGGCACAGCTACCATGTTCCGCTGGCTTATCGACACCGAGAGCAGCGTATTGGTTCGCATCGCACGCCGCCGTCAGTGTATCGTGTGCACCAGGCGAGGTGTCTTCGATGAGAGTGACGATCGGGTTGCGCAGGTTGGTCAGGAGTTCGTCATCGACTTCGGGTACGAGTTTGTGCGAGGCAGCGCGCGTGTGTGGAAGAGAAAGGTACTCCATGGGAGGTTGCTCGGAGTTCGAGGGATTCGTCGAAGCGTAGGCGGAGTATACAGCGTAAGCTGAGGATGCGTACCCTGAGCCTGTTGCAGCTGCACGACGTTAGTGCAAATTCTCACAACGTAGTGTCGCGTCCGTTGACTTACCGGCAATAGTCCCAGCACCCACAGGTGTCTTCGAGAAATCGTACAACTGCTCCGCGTAGCTCTTGTTCGGATCGCGATTATGGCTCGACTTGAACGCGCTCACGACAGATTTGGAGTCTGGTACCTCGACATTCGGTACGTAACTAGAGAAGCTCTTTCCAGTCGGCAAGTACGAAGACCACTTCTTGGTGTTCTCCTCATTCTGCTTCTTCTCCTGCTCAGGGCTAGGCTTCTGCTCTGCTTCCTGCTTGCTCGCTCCACCTTTGCTACGGTACGGGATAGAAGGGAGGTATGACGCCCATGTGCGCTTGTTGGGCTGCTTTGACGATGAATCTGTGCTTTCGGTCGTCTTCTCGTTGTTGGGTGTATCGGGAGCCTGCTCGGGCGGGTCCTCAGCAGCTTCTTGCTTTGAGTCGTCGGTCTTTTCTTCTGTAGATTGCGTCTCTTTACCGTTGTCGTTACCATCTGCCTCCTTTCTTGGCTCCTTCGCCCCGTCATCTTCTCCTTTTGTCGCCTCTGTGGCTTTCTCTCCCTCTTCCTCAACGGCCTTCTTCATCTGCTCTGCTTCCTTCTTGAGTTGTTCGTCGTCCAGTTCCTTTCCTTCACCCTCCTCGCCGTCTCCATCGTCAGGCGGAGGTCCCAGACTAAACGCCCACATACTGACTACCTGCTTTCCGTAAGTGTTGATGACCTTGATTGTCCGGCCTCTGGGCACAAAAGTTGCAACGCCGTGGCGCGCAGGTATCGTTTGTAGTTCACCAGACATATCTTCGGTCGTATTGAACTCGTGCTGGTCTTCTTTGCCTTTCACCTTCTTCTTGCGCTGCTTCTCGACGGCCGACAATACAGAGATGAGCGCAATGCCAGCGAGAGCGCGACGGGAGGGGACTTGAGGCGCCGTGTTGACGGCTTGTATGCGCTAGTAGCGCAAGCAGAGAAACAGGATAGATGGATAGTTGGTAGACGGCCGTTAGTGTATCTGGCTGCCGGACGTTGACTTCAACAACGAGTAGTGAGGTATGGAGCGTCTACCATATTCACGGATCGGTGACGTACGTGGTGCACATCATGGCGGTTTGCAGCGCGCGATTCGTCCAGAACGTCGGCGGCGAGCATGGAACCCCATGTGCAACGTCCCGCGCGATCACCTTGCTAAGATCGCGGATGACGCAGCGTGGTGGAACCCTGTTTTGAGATGGGAAAAGCAACGGACGGGACGCGGTTGCGGTTGCCCCAGAGCTCGCTTACGCTTGTCGGTTTGCAGTAATCGCCCGTCAAGTGCTAGCCTTACACGCGCTGCTCATGTTCGCTATCCTTATGTGCGCTTCCTGGGTGTCTGTAAAATAATGCGGCTTTCTCCAACTCTTACAACGGCAGGAGCTATGGCGCGTTTGTCGAAGCGCCCTTCCAAGCATACTCGCGCTTCGCGACCTTTAGGGTAATGACAACGTAAAGTGATGATCATATTACACTATTGCTCAGACACGATCATCATGGTATCTTGTACTTGACCGAAAGCATGATTCTGTTCTCTTTTCGTGTGTGACGTTACTTCGGTATCTGTTTGACGTTTGCGGCACAGTGCAGAAAGCTGCATGTTCAGAAGACGTGTCTGGACGCCACAGGCAGGAAGACCATGCTGTACTACACCAGGCGCATACTACATGTATGCGAATGCATTGTACGACCCCGCATCGAAGGCGCGTAATCTCTCAAAATGTGTATAACACAATGCCTCCGCTATGTACCTACCTAGGTAGCTAGGCACTTTAGAGTTCTCCAGAAGTTGCAAAGATGGGTGATCCGTCAGAGTCGTGTTCCTTTGAGGAGTAAGTACCTCATACTGATCACTTGGCGTGGTGACTGACAACGTATAGTCTCATCCAATCGAAGCTGTTCACCTTCTACATCGGCAAAGAGAAGAAAGCGTTTGTTGTGCACTCTAAAGCGGTCGCCGCGACCTCATGGCATTTTCATGCTCTTGTGAACAATGGCATGTCACAGTCGCAGGAAGAGTCTGTAGACTATCCAGACATGGAACCGGATGACTTTGCCCGATTTGTTGAGTACTCGTACCGTTACGACTACACTGCACCGTCTTGGGTTCAGGATGACAAAGTCGCGCAGAGCGACAATAAAGAGGGAACCGACCATAGTGATGAGGATCCGTATCCGATTTCGAGCAGATCGCCAGGCGGAGCGAAAGGGGCAAAAAAGATGGCAGGCGCTAACTCAACAACTCAACCCCTGCGCCAAAGCTTCAGCCAGCGCGAATACCTCATGTCACAAGAGCCCAAGACCATAATGCTTGAACGCTTCCTGCCCCCAGAGAACTCCGCGCCAGAACAAGATTTCACACCTATCTTCTTAGCGCACGCACGTATCTATACCTTTGCCTGTATGCGTCTCATCGACCCTCTCAAACGCCTAGCTCTACACAAGCTCCACCAAATCCTCCTCAGGTTCAAGCTCTACGATCGACGAGTCGGTGATGTGGTTGAGTTGGCTAGATATGCGTACGACAATGGGGAAGACAGGAAGCCTGATGGATCCATCGAGGATCTCAGGAAGCTGGTGGTGGAATACATAGCCTGTGAAGTGTCGACCATCGGCAAGCATGAAGCATTTGCTCCCCTGTTGCAAGAGGGCGGAGAGTTTGTGGTGGATTTCTGGCGTATCATCGCTAAAGAGAATTTGTCTTTGTAGAGGAGGTCTAGAACATAGTAGAACTAATGATATCTTTTGTCTTCAAACACGAAACCTTCTTGTGAGCGTCTTGTCTTTCATGCTACGGGAGCCTTGTCGGTGATAATCCCATTTATTTCTGTTCTTGAACGCTTATTCCCAAAGTCGTCAATCTAGCATTGTCCAGTAGTGTTGCGGCAGCGGGCAGATTGGCAGTTGCTATACATCGTCCAAGCAGATTGCCTAAGCCCGGAGGACGCGAGTGCCTGCCCGGGTTTCGTCCCATACTCGTACCCCCTTCGACGCCTCCGTATGTGCAGCCTCAAACAATAGCGACGGCTATGTGTGTTTGCATGATCATGCTTTCCATACAATCGCTCAGGGTGCCGTCATGACAAATGCTGTCATAGCTTTCACCGCGTTGCCATCATGCGCGCGCAACAGCTCCGTAGCCTTTGGCTTCGTAAGTTCAAGTTCAGACACCTGTTTGTCCAAAAGTCAGTCTATGCCCAGTGATTCCAACATGTCTGCGCATCCATCTCTTGGCGCATCCATTCCAAGGTAAACGTACCAGCAGGTTAACATCGGCTGCCTCGATCTTGACATTCTTCTTCTCGCCTTCCTTCTTGTCCTTGACATTTAGCCCCTTCATCGCCTTGTCTAGTGCCTTGCCATCAACCTCTTTCTTCGGCCCATTCTCGCCTTCTTGGGGCGCGTCGAGGGTGGAGAGGGCGGCGGCGGCTTTGCGGTCATCGGCTGTGCTCGTGGGTGCGTGCGGGTCGGCGGCGCCTTCTTGGACGGTGGAGGGCTGGGGCTCGGCCATTGTGGATGTCGCGAGTAGAGTGATACAATTTTGAAGGCTGACAGAGCGCAGAGGGGGTATAGAGGGCTTGTATAGGCGACGGAAGATGGAGAGACAATGACGACAGTGGATTAGAGAGCTGAGGGTTGTGGGGTAGCTAAGGATTGTGGAAATGTGGCCAATGGGAAAAGAGAGTGGCCGCCATTGGTTGACTTTCTGGAGTTATGCACGCTTTTAATTCCTACATTCTGGCACAAAACCTCGCACCGGCAGGAACATAGAGCTTACACACGAATACCAACACAGAAGCGGCGACATACTCGCTGCACACCTATTAGCATACTCAGGGTAAGTTTGCTGTGTTACGTCATGGAGTATTGCGCACGCAGTCCGCTTTTCGTTGCAGATTTTGTACCTTGAGTCATGTGTTTGCGTCCTTTGCTCACGTCTCCTTGCAGGCGAACCCTTGCCGAACTGCCATATTAACAAGTGACTCAAAGGTGATCTTCCGTGTCGCAACTAGACAGTCTCAAACTAGCACGAGAAGCGTACTCAGGTACATCAACTGAAAAAGAATACACTATGGACAACGAAGGGCACGCAAAATTAACCGACTACGTTTCCCAGTTCATGGCAGCAACCAGTGGCCAAACGCAAACACAACCAACTTCGTCGACGATGAGCGCAAACTCAACACAACTGCCGGAGAGGCCAAAGCAAGAAGCTGAGACAGTGGCCAGCTCTCAAGAATGGTCGCCAGCTTGTAAGAGGGATCATGGACGCTCAAGCTGCTGTACTAACGATCACAGCCTGGAGGTCGAAGCCCATCAAGCAAGTCGTCACATATGAAGATCAAGCAGCAGTATCCTCTGCGCTGACCAAACTATCGAGTCTGCCGCCAATCGTTACACCAACAGAGATCGCGCGACTCAAGGCCAGTCTCCGCGATGCTGCACTTGGAAAGTCGTTTCTGTTGCAAGGAGGTGACTGCGCCGAGTTGTTCTCCTACTGCGCGGACAACCCGATCGATGCAAAGATCAAGCTTCTGCTGCAAATGAGTTTGGTATTGATTTGGGGTTCAAACAAGCCCGTCATTCGCATTGGCCGTATAGCCGGACAGTATGCTAAGCCCAGATCGAGCCCGACGGAGATGCTGAACGGCAAGGAAGTCCCTAGCTTCCGTGGCGATATCCTCAATGGATACGATCCTGACGCTCGAAGAGTTGACCCTGAGAGGCTGGTCAGCGCCTACTTCCATTCGGCGACAACACTGAACTATATCCGTGGACAGCTAGCAAGTGGCATTGCTGATCTGCACAATCCTCTGGACTGGGAATTGGGTCACGTCCGGGACGAGGAACTACAAACCAAGTACTCGAAAATCGTCCACAGCATCTCTGACTCGTTGCGCTTCATGAAGACTATTGGGGCGGACACATCAGGTCAGCTGCAGACAGTAGACCTGTTCACCAGCCACGAAGGTCTCGTTCTGGAGTACGAGCAGAGCTTGACAAGGAGACTAAAGCACCCTTCAGGCTACAAGCCTTCCCAGGCCTCAAATGACGGCAAGGGCTGGTACAACACCTCTGCTCACTTCATCTGGATCGGAGACCGAACTCGTCAAATCGACGGAGGCCACGTTGAGTACTTCCGCGGTATTGAGAACCCTATTGGTATCAAGGTTGGTCCTTCCATGAAGAACGACGAGCTGGTAGAGCTGCTCGACATTGTCAACCCGAATAAGGAGATTGGCAAGATTACATTGATCACGCGATATGGTGCGGACAAGGTTGAGTCGATGCTTGGAGCGCACATTGAAGCTGTCAAGAGCAGTGGACACGTTGTAGTGTGGCAGTGCGATCCCATGCACGGGTAAGTCGTCTTGGTACGCAATCTTCCATCCACTAATGTGTCGATAGCAACACGCGCAGCACGCCTACTGGCATCAAGACCCGCTCTTTCAACAGCATCTTCTCTGAGCTCTCATCAGCGCTCAAGATTCACAAGCAGCACGGGTCCTTCCTCGGTGGCATGCACCTGGAACTCACCGGCGATGCGGTTACGGAGTGCACTGGCGGAAGTGAAGGACTTGTGGACGAGGATCTAAGCCTGAACTATACCACATACTGCGATCCCAGGTTGAACGAGAAGCAGGCGTTGGAGTTGGCATTCCTGGTCGCAGGACACTACCGTGCCGACGAAAAGCTCCTATAGGCCATAATAGCCCTTGGTAGATTAAGCATGTCACGATGTGTTTGAAAACAAAATTACGATTCGTTGCAGCCTTCGCAAGCATCGCCCAAAGTAGTAAACCCTTTTCATGACGCGGGAGATCTCCACTACATCATCAGAGTGGTCCAAGCTTCAGAAAGTCCCATACGTGCATCTTATCTGCCCCCCCGTTATCACCACGCATCTCAACATTCTGCAACTACCCCACACTCGACGTATTCCCAACAGAGATAATGGGTTCTTCGGCTTCCAAAGGCGCAAAGGCGGCGGGCTCTGCTGCTCGTAAATACCCTACCAGAGCCCCTACAAACACTACAACACGGGCTCCCGCGCCTTCTGCACCCGCACAGGATCCTATAAAGGGACCGACTGTCCATCCCGAGGTGCAGGCTACTGGAGAGAAGACCGAGGGTATGTATCCACACGCTTTCAGCACATGGGGACACGAGACTGATTTCTAGTTTAGCTGTTTTACAAGATGCCCGCGACCCTGCCTTTGCATCTCGCCTGAGCAGTCTGGGTGCTGTTCAACCGAACCCTCACTTCTCGCCTTCGTCTGCCTCGCAATTCGACCCTCGTCGCAATACCTCGCCGAATCTTCCCTCCGATACGATGATGCAATCGCCACCGCAGTCTGCGTTCCCCGACCCGCGCAATAACCCTGTACTCAGGGTACTGGAGGCGAGACAACGGATAGCAGACCAGGCGGAAGATGAGTTGCGAGACGTTGGTAGGAGAGGGTTCCAGGGAAGAACATATGTGGATGCTGGTGTCATAACGTTGGCGATGATGAGACGGAGCAAGGGAGAGCCCGATGCAAGGATTGAAGACGCTTTGGGAATCAAGAGGGGGAGACTGAGTGTGCTTGGCAAAGGCATGGTGGAAGCCGTAGCCTTGGGTTGATCGGGCGATATCAAAGACGTCACGACACACGACATATCTGAGGAAGGCGAATTGAGCGGCACCGAATGGCCAGTCAAGATCGAATTCGATCTGCAAAAGAGCGTACATATGTACATACGAAACGAGAACGAAAGAAGACTGTCAACACCAAGCTCAACCTTCCCAACCGATGCAATGCGTTACCAAGTCGTTACCCAAACGCCAAACCAACACCGGAACAAATGCAGGAAACTACCAATTTTGTGCGCCATCATGATTCGTCGTGGTCGGCGTTCTCGTGGATGAAGTTGTTCATCGCCATCAGCGCCTCTTTCAGACACTCTTGGTCAACCTCGAGGCCGTCGCGCAACATTTCGTCGTAGCCGATGCGGACGACACCGCCGGTGCCCATACGCGCCCGCTTCTGGTTCCATCTCCGAGCGACTTCCCATCGCTTGCGGGTTTGTGTGAAGGGCGGGCATGAATCGGCAATCTCCCTACTCTCGCGCAGAACCGTGAGGGCGTTGAGGACGTTGAGGAATATGCTACGCGCGACAGTTAGTCTCTACCTCGATACAGCGCAAACAGTTTTCGCTCGACAACGTACCCTTGAGTAAGCTCTAGGTCATGATCCCATCCATACGCCACGGTACTGAAGCTGTTCCCCTGTGCCACGATATCCAAGAATATGAACAGCGACTCTTCCACACTTATGTCGGTACTAATCGTTGATGCGACGTTTGCGAGGATCCAGTCCGAGAGTTCGAAGAAAGTCTTCTGGTCCATGTGCGCGAAGCCGACGAAGCGCTCCGGAACGGTGAACATGAGCGACATGGCACGTCGCGCACCCATGGCCTCTATACAATCCATTTGGCTGGGGAGATGTGAAGTGCGTCGAGAAAGACCGAGACGTGTGGTTGAAAGTGGATGTGCTGATGTGCCGGCAGCGTGCCCCGATGGTTGGTTTGGTGGGTGGGTGGTGATGGAAAGCGGAGTCGGGAAGACGTCAGGTGAGAAATGAGGAGTAAGGCTGAGAATGGATGATGAACAGATCCAGCTGCATGCAACACTGCGGATACCGGCAAGAAAGAATACCCAATTCCAA